TGTGACAATGACCAATTTGTGGTCATGCACAATGAGTTACCCATAAGGCCGCAGAGGGCTGAGCACAGCAGGGCTGGCCAGGGTTCACAAGCTCATACTCTTCTGCTGGCCATGGCCATGTCAGTCACACATTGCTGGACTCTGGACTCCCTGAGGCATCTGTTCCATTTCCTGCTCAGTATCTATTAATTTTTTCAACCACAAAGTGTGTCTAATAAGGCAAAGCCAGCACCCAAGCCCAGATTTGAGGAAGATTTGTATTTCTGCTTTTTGCACTGTGCCAGGAAAAGACAGAAGACTCCAAATTATGCCTGGAAGTTATCTTTCATTCCTAGCATAGAATATAGGACCAGAGGATGGTCCAAGTTAGGGATGAGTAGCTCTTGGAACTACATGTGGTGAAACATTATACAAGATTACAATTGGGGTGATTTTTCCCTCATTCTTTCAATTCCTTTTTCCTCCTGTCTCAGCAATAACATATCCAGCCTAGCATGGTGCCTAGAGCATAACAGTGAATGAATGAATGAATGTGGACTGTGTGTGTGTTCAGACATGATTCAGAGCATTGTTGATAATCTCAGTGACTGCCTAGCTGGTCATTAGGCCAGGAAGAGGGAAGTAAGGGACCTAAACAGATACAATCTGAGGGCTGTATGAAACAACATGCAATCTACCAGTTGTTCAAATCACAGCCCTGGTCCTAGTGTCCCACTGGTAACATTTTGTCTTGGATTATGAACATTTAAGCTCCAAGGCCATGAAATGACTGAAACACTGGCCTATTCTACTTTACAGCCACTAGGTGGCGCCTGTTTTAGCAATTGCAAAATGGCTTGTTCACAACTGGGGAGCTTTGGTCAGCCTGCCCGAGATGAAATGTCATGTTCTTGCTGGGTGGGTAGAAGAGCTTGCCAGGGCCAGTGCTGCCAGGCTTGTTTTAAGGAGCCAATGCCCTGGGAGGAACCTGGATTCATGCCTCCAGTGATGAGCTCACCCTATCTAAAATAGTGACTTCCTCCCACCACCTCCTCATCCTCTCTCCTTTTGCTCTTATTTTCTCTAACCAGTTATCACACTTAACTTTACTTTTGCTTGTTTTGTCTCCCTCCACTAGAATATAAACTCCACAAGAGCAGAGACTTTCTTTTGCTCACTACAGCATCACCAGCTCCTATAATACCTAGCACTGAGTAAGCCCTTAATAAATATATTGCATAAATGAATGAATGAACCCGTAACAAAGAATTATTAGTAACTAAGGTCTTTAGTCACATTCCCCTAATGAGGAACTGAAAACCAAGCGATGCTGAGGTATTGCTAATGTTTGAAGTAGGTGGATTTAATTTGTATCTCTCCTATTCAGTTAGAGCAGCCTGCCTGTGAATTAGAGTGGTTTCATTTCCTAAATCTATTTTGATCCTACTGTGTACTCTGGAAAGAGATCCCTGCTGAGTAGTTCTCTCTCTGGCTGTCAATCACAGGAGCAGCCTGTGGGCCTTAGTGAGCCAGCAGGCCTCTGAGGATGGTTTCCTGCAGGCTGAATAGGACTGCCTGAAGGGAGAAGAAAGCAGGGTATACCCCTAAGCTGGATTCACAAGCCTCTGGAGTAGAAGATATCACAGCAAAGAAGCCTCACCAAGGCTTCTGATTTCCTGTGGATGGGCCCCTGTGGCCATGCTCAGGACCTGGATTCAGAGGATGCCTGCCTAACAAGAAGGCCATAGGTAACAAGGCTCCCCCGACTTGGTGAGGAACTGCTTTATTACAGCCTCACCATATCCATTTGCCTCCCAAATACTGGCTAAGAGTCATACAGACCTGGGTAAGGCTCGCAGGACCATCCTGCTGTGTGAAAGAAAGCAGAAGGGCTGGCAGCCCCAGTGAGAGGCATCTCTCCTGGACTGAGAAGATCTAGGCTGGGCTGGGTGAGGGCGCTGGGGTTTCCCAGAGCACAGGCCCACCAGCTGCAGTAGTCTGCAGCAGGCAACAGCCCAGAAAAGATATGCCTGCGGGCAGTAAGTCCTTACTTTATGTAGTGCAGCTATTTGTTGCCTTTCCTGAGTTAACACGTGACAAATTTTAAAATCACCTGCAAACCTAAATCCAATGAGTGCCTACAGACGACACACTTAACAGCTCAGAGGATGATTCAGAGGAAGCAATTTCCACAGGGAAGATAATCATGTTAGTGTGAAGAGGCAAACTCTTTTATTAGCGTTGGAAACTCAAGGGAAACATTGCTAAATCATAATGCCGCACTTAAGTAAATGGCTCAGGAACAATATCCAGGAAGGCGCTGTGCAGACCCCACTTCCACTCAGACTTCCCCACAGAACTAGCTCTCCTAGAGGGAAAGTGAAGCTCTGACCTCTTCCTGTTTACCTAATAAGCAGCTTTTCTAAGTCCTGGTCTCCTGTGCCCACACAGGGGACCCCAGTGCTCAGAGCTCCCCAGTCTTATCTACATACCTTTACCAGGGGTTTTTAACCTCATATCTCATGTCTTTATTCTGTGACACTGAAATGCATACTGACACTCCACCCCTGACCTCTCCTGGGGCTTCATAGAACCAACTGCCTATTTGAATTTTCTATTTGGATATCTAATAGGCACCTCATACTTAGAATGGCCAAAACTGAACTCTCAGTTATCTCTTCTTTTCCACTGTCTTATTATTACATAAGAAATCACCCCCAAATACTTGGGACTGAAAACAATGATGACTGTTGATTTTGCTCACAAGTCTGATTTTTGGGGGGACTTAATGGGGACTGCTCCGTGAATCAACAGCTGGACCAGTTGACCTGGGGCTGGAGAATCCATTCCCAGGATGTCTCACTCACATAACTGTCGCCTAGGTGCTCACGTGGGCTACAGGCAGGGGTCTCAGGTCCGCTCCACCAGCTGCTATGGCTTCCTTCAGGCGTCACTGAGTGCCTAGTGTGAGTTTCCCAAGGAAAGGAAGTAGAAATTGCCAGTGTCCTAAGTCCTGGGCCTGGAAACTGGTAAAGCGTCACTTCTGCCATATTATGTTGGTCAAGCAGCCACAGAGCCCAGATTTAAGGGGAGGGGGAAAAAACAGCCAAGTTTCCATGGCAGAGCAGTAAGGATTTGTGGATGTGTTTAAAAATGCCTCCATTCTGGGTTCCAAAGCCTTATGTGCTCTGGCCCCTGCCCAGTTCCCTGGCCTCCTCTTGTACTTCTCACCTTCTCACTAGACTATGATCCTTACACACTCTTGTTCCTGCCTGGCAGCCTTTGCATTTGGCTTTCTTCTTTCTGGAATGCTCTTCCCCTGATTTTCCCAAGGCTGGTTCCTTCTTGCCATTTACTTTACAGATGAAATGTAATTTCCCCTGAGAGGCCATCCATAATCCACAATCCTAACATAGCCAAGCAGTTCTCTGTTCCAGTAACCTGTGTTAATTTTCAACACAGTCCTTACCACTCGTTGATACTTTTTGTGGCCATCTATTTATTCCTTGTCTGCCTCCTCCCTCTAAATTAATAAATTCCATGAGGGCAAGGGCCTTGTCTGTCTTGTTACTGTGCATCCCTAGGGCCTAGAACAGTGCCCAGCACAGAGCAGATGTTTGATAAATATTTATCAGTTTAGCATGTAGCAACAGTAGCCCCAGCCAGCCAGCCTTCCAGCAGGACCATGGCATCTCTCAGGCTGCCTGGCAGGTGTGGAGGAGTGGCGGGCAGCTTCGGGAGGGCCTCGGTGGCTGGTGCTTGTACCAAGAGCACAGCTCTGTGGGTGGGCCTGCTCCCGGGGGATGCTTCACCATGACCTCCTTCCAACCTCAGGCATGTTCCCCCTCTCTAGCCTCTTTGTTAAACAGCAATATAGAATCACAGTCTTAAGCACAAAGTTACTAATGTGCTTAGACAGGATGGCGCAGTTTGGCTCACCTCACCTCTGTGTTGGGTCAGCTCAGGTTATATTTCATTTGAATATTCATCTTATGGTTTGACTCAGAAATGTAGGCACAGATCTGGTATCACAAATTCCAAGTGCTTGTTTTAATAATTATTTAAAAAAATAATGTTCAAAATTTTTAAGAGAAATTTGGAAATGGGTATTTTAGGACCCATTCAAATAATGAAGAAAAGTTTGATTAGGGTTTACAAAAAAAAATCAATGTTATTAATAGGTTAAAAAACAAGACTGCTGAGGTGAAAAGTGAGTTCAACAATAATGAAATAGTCTTTGTTTTCTTCAAAAATGATTTTGACCATTGCTTAGTACTTTGGTGTAGAGAACGTACAGAGTTAGCTTCTGAAGTAACAAAACACTGGTTGTGTATGGTCAGCTCATTCTCAGGCAAATGGTAGCTTGTTTGATAGGATTCCTTTTTATTCACTAATGAGATTTTTGCCTATGGATTTAAATTTATAAAAATTTAGTAATATGGAAAGCTCAAGTTCCTGTGGGAGAAGAGGATTGTGAGGCCCCACTGTGCTGACCAAAAGCGAGATGATTCTGTAGTACTGAGAGGCCAGGATCTGTGTGGCTGCTTTTGGCAGTGGTGTGACCATCAAGAGTGAGACCACCCTTAGTGGTGCTACTCACGTCTTTGGAGCAGTCACTCTCTGACCTTGCAGAGTGGGTAAGAAAGGCAAACCTGACAGGCTGGCCTATACCACGTCCCACCTGGACCTCAGATGCCCTGTGGTGGGAAGCCCACTGAGGAGAGGTGGGCAGGACCCTTGGCAATACTGACTCGGGGTTTGTGAAATCTCCTTTTCGTGATAGTAGATGATTGTTATCCACCAAGGGGCTCACATGTGACCCTCTCTCTCTAGGCCAGAATGCAGTGCCCAGCAGAGTGTCAGAAGGCACAGCCAAGGGTGCTAGACGCAGCATTGTGCATTTGCTACAGACTGGGGGCTGGCAATGAGGAAGGCCACCAACAGGTCTACATTAGTATGTCTGTGCAAGTGCTTAGCTTTTATCTTTCTGTTTCTAATTCTTTCTGCTTGAAGTATTTTTTGATGACCACTCCTTAGAACTCAAGCTCCTGGGATCAAACTTAGGTCATACAGGCTGTGGAGAAGCAGAGCCTTCCCAGGTCTCAGGTGAGTAGCTGGCATCTGGAGGGCTCTCCCTCCCTTCCTCTCTCCTTTCCTGCTCTGCAGAGCCTGCATCTGGGTGCAGAGGGCTCCCTAAGGGAGGGCTGGTTTGGAGGAGGCTGACGTTTCAGGCAAGGCAGCCCCTTCTGCGGCCTCCTTCCCACCACAGCCCTCTTGAGGAGTGAGAATCAGGAGGAGCAGGCAAGTCTCACCTGAGCTGACTGCAGTCCAGCTCAGGTGTGTCCAAGACCTCTCTCACAGCACAGCAATGAGAAGTGGTGTGACTCAAGCCCTCTCTCCGTCCACACAATGCTGGGAAAGAAAAACCAAGTTCCATTTACCAAAATATCTGTATTATCTATAAAAATTGAACTCCAGCAAGTCACTGCTACTGGAGGCAGCAACACCAGCTGTGCTGGCTGCCGAAGCCGACAGCTGCATCCTACCAGCCCACAGCAGATATTGTACTGAAGGCACGTGAGCAGACTCATCTGTAAGGCCTCAAAAACCTGGACACTTTGGACCGTAGCAATCGGATGAAGGATCTAGGAAACATCTCCCGGGACTCCTGGGCCGTGTACTTGAAATAGTTCTGGGGATGGGCCAGGACATCAAACAGAGCCTTGATCAGTTTCTTATCCTAAAAAGAACATAATTTTTGTTACTGAGCTGAGATATTTAAACATTCCAACATTTTGCCAATGGAACTATAATGATCCAGTGTTATGCAGTAGGTTGATGAGCTGAAAAACATTATGTGAAAGTTGTTTCTGCTGATTTTTATCTTTTTTCCAGTTTTCATGTTTCCTAATTATCTACAGAAAGCATGTATTACTTTTATAAAAGAAAGTTTAAATGTCTACAAAATGGTTTCAATTTTCTAAACCAGATGAAATGCAACACTGGAATTCTGGGAATATTTATAGGGTTCATGATATGGCAAGTGTTTATTGATAATTACTCATAAGTAATTTGGCAAACTTCAGACTTGAAGGATAAACAAGAAGCCAAGGATCTTGAACTTTTTGGAGAATGAACCTGAAAACACTATTTGCCACTGGCCTGGATTTACAATAAATTTCCCACTGCTCCTCTGTACATTTCCAAATAAAAAAATACAACTTCACTTGACAACACAAAGACAGCTGCCTGAATTTTGGGAAAAATGAAGTGTGGTGAAGATCTACAACTGACCTCAGCTCATGGCAGGCTTGGTGTCTGAAGGTGGCAATATGGCACAGGAGGAGAGCCTCCTCTGATGGTGCTTGGGGTGCTCTGCGGATGCCTGCCTGTCTGCCTTAGGTATGAACTCACCTTAAGGATCTCCTGATGGTTCTCAGATGCATAGAGCCTGCCGTCTCGGACTATGTCTTCGATGAGCTCCTGGTAGTCCTCTGATGGAATAAAGGATATATTTTGCATTCATATGGTTTAGTTATTTCCAAACTCTCTCTCTCTTTCATTTTTTATAAGATTCTGAGAAATGCCCCTTCTATAGCTGATCTGATACTGAGAAGGCAATCAGAAGAGAGCTACAGACACCCCACCACCACATCCATTCACCACCAGCATCTGCACCAGCTCTCAGGTTCTGCCTTCCCTCAGGTGAACCCTCTGTACATCCAATCAAGGCCCATCCCTCCACTTAGCTCACTGGCTCCATCTTCTCTCCAAATCAAGCACATTGTTCCAGTAATTCTGCTCTTTTTTCCCTACATGAGCTTTCCCATAAACACACAGACATGCTGTTATGTCTCTAATAAAAAAAAAAGTCTTCTCTTGACCTTTTTTCTCCTCAAGCTTCCATCCAACTTCTTGCCTCCCCTTTGCAGCAAAAGGGAAGAATTGTCAACACTTGTCTCTGATTCCTCTCCTTTCTTTCTCTCCCAAACCCCGCTCAGTTAGCTTTGCCCACCTCCCCAACCAAAACTGCATGTCAAGTTTACCATTATTCTTGTTGCTAAATCCCAAAGGTCCACTCTCGGTCCTCATCTGCCTTGATGCACCCATAGCGTTTGAGCTGGCTGGTCACCCCTCCCCACTGAGCCACTTCCCTCAGCTTTCAGGACACCAAACCCTTTGGTTCTCCTCCTACCCCACCAGTTGCTCCCTCCGAGGCCACTTGGCTTTTCCACCTCCTCCCCCACCTCCCACTGCAGGGTGGGGGGTGGGTCCCAGGGCGCAGGGCTGGTTCTCACCTCTTCTCTGTCTGTACTCACTCCCTGGCGAGCTCATGGCTTTTCTCTCCCTCCCCACTTTTCTCCCTTCTCTTCTCCTCATTTTTTCTCTCTGTCCTTGTATTATATAAAACAATCAAGCTTCATACACACCAAGCCAAACACTTCTCTCCTTTTTTTTTTGGAATGGGATTCAATGCAGGGAAAATTTGGCTGATGGAGAGGCAAGAAAGCTATGTTCATTTTCTCCCTAATAATTTTTGGTCCTGCAGTGCACACAATGTAAACCTTCCCCAAATTAACCCTCCTCTGCCTTTCAAAGTCTAGCCTGTTTCCTACATTCATCACTCAAATCAAGCATATGCAAACACAATCTTTCAAATTCCAGGCCAGAAAAAAAATGCCCCTCATTTGCATATCACGTGCAATAAAACCAAACAAATAATAAGAACACTGGAATTGTGTAGAGAAGTTAGAGAAGTTCTTGAAAAAGTTTCTCCTAGTCAAGTGATAGTAAATGGAAAACAATAGTATAATATTCATAATTTAATACATGTATAATATCACTGGTACTCTATTCATGTGATATCTTTCCTCTTATTCTTTTATTTTAGGGCATATAAAATGTGAGTAAAGGCACATGTTTCTTATCTTGAATGCCTCTGCAGCGTCTCCACCTTAGGGATCCAGCCCCTTCGGAGGATGGGAGTTCACCTTCAGGAACATCAGCTGCTGTGCTGTGTCTGGCCTGAGAGAACTGGAAAGCTGTTTGCCCCTTTGCAAATACTTCCAGACTGCTGTCTTTTTAAAAATATTTCCTCTGTTTTTAAGAATTACTGTGTTGCCTCCCTGCTCCAGCTGTCATGAAAAAAGCAGTCAGGTGTTATAGGTAAGAACTCAGACCCTGGAGTCCCAAAGGTGTCTGCAGCTTTGTCCTGCTGTGACCCAGAACACTTAAATGTCTGAGCATAAGTGGCCTCCTCTGTAAAATCAGGAAAGAACTGAGTCTACTTCACGGGTGATTGTGGGGAATGTGCTGCGTCAAAGGCACTTAGGAGCCTGGTGCTGAATGATGCTCAGCACGTGTCAGCCACTACGGTGCCTCCTGTTCTCCAGTGGTCGGGGGCTAGTCTCCAGCAGCCCCACCTGCCCCTTCCAGGGATTTCCAGTCTTCTGGGCTTGGCAACCAGATACCACACCTGTCTGGAACATATGTTTAAGAAAAGAGTAAACAGGCTCTGAGTGAAGACATAAAAGGTTTCTGTATGGCCAAACCAGCAATTTTCAACTACAGTTGACCTTTGAACTACATGGGTTTGAACCATACAGATCCACTTATGTGGTTTTTTTGAATAAGTATATTGGAAAATTTTTTGGAGATTTGTGACAATCTGAAAAAACTTGCAGAAGGACCACATAGCCTAGAAACATCAAAAGAATATGAGAAAAAGTTAAATATGTCATAAATGCATAATATATGTGTAGAGACTAGTAGATTTTACAACTTGCTACCGTAAAAATCAACAATCAACAGTAGGCTACCAGTAGTTAAGTTTTGGGGGAGTCAAAAGTGACACGTGGACTTTTGACTGTGTGGTGTCAGCACCCCCTAACTCCTATGATGTTCAAGGGTCAACTGTATTTTCTGCTGTGACTTGCACAAGACACACTCTTGCGGGCCTACCCAGGGTTATGTTGAATTTCCCCTGTTTTAAGCTACAACTCTTTATTGAATAAAAAAAAAAAGTTTCATGTGTCACAAAGGCAGAGGTGAGAACAGCCAGACTAAAGTGTGTGAGCTTCGGTGACATTTACTCTGGAGCCTCCTTGTCCTTTTTGGTTCCTCCCTGACTCTAGGCAGGGGAGGTTGTCGGCTGCCGCTCTCAGGTAGATTAAGTCCACTGCCTCTCAGCAGAGCCTCACGGGAGGCATTCGTGTCCACCAGGAGTCTGATACTAAGAGTCAGCCTAAAAACCCTCCATGGCTGCCTGTAAGATTAGGTCTACCCTTCTGAGTTTGGCACTCAAGGCTCTTTGCAGCCTAACCCTCCCCCTTCTAATCTCATCTCTCACTGCTAAGCCCCATGCACCCTGCCAACTGGCCAAATCAGGCTATATACAGTTGCCACACTTGCCAGGTACTCCATTCATTAGCCTATGTTATGCCCTTTTCCTGAATGTTCGTCCTCCCATTTATACAGAAACTTTTGTGTTCTTTCAAGATCCAAATCTCTTGGAACTTTCCTCTCCTCTTTCCAAAAACCCATGCAAAATTAACTGCTTCCCCTTCCTCTGTCTTCACATGAGCTTTGTACATGTCCCTTGAGAGTATCTATGATCTATGTGTTTCTGTCAGTAACCATGTTGTCTCCAGCACCCAGCCCAGTGCCGGCACAGTAGATGCTCATTGTGGATAAATGAATAATTCATGAATGAACAGATGGCTCGTCCCCCTCTAAATCATGAAGTCCTCTAGGATATGGCCCAGGTCATTGTGTATTTCTAGTAAAAATTTGTCAATGAAGTCTCAGAACTGGGTAGGGCTGCAGGACCTTCATTTAACAAGAAAATAAAACCAGGAAGTCATCTGACTTGCCCAAAGTTACACAGCAAATTAGTGCCAGAGACAGAACTTGGATCTTTATCCCTTTCCTAAGGATTTGATAAAATAAAAGCCACAGTCATAAGTTAATAATTATTGAGCATTCACTATGTGTCAGGCACTGAACCAAGTCCTTTATGGATGATCCCACTGAACTCTCACATTAAGTCTAATGACTATCCTCATTTACATATTAAGAAAATGAGGCTTAGAGACAGTAACATTCACAAAATCACAGAAGAGATGATAACCAGCTGACTGACCCCAATGCCCATGCTCTTACCCACCAAGCTAGGCTCACTTTTATTTATTTTCTAAAACATCTTTTCATCCATGTAGTCAGTGTCCCCAAATGCCTGCTTAAAATTTGGCTCTTGTGAGTCAGCGATGTCCTTTCTCCTTATACCAGCCTTTCTGAGCATGTGTACTTGTCAGCAATCCACTAGCTGGCTCAGAAGCAGGTTCTGTTCAAAGCAGAGAACACACTGCAGCCTAAGTTTCACATGCTTACCATCATACGTCACGTACGGGACCTGGAACCCTCTGGCACTGTTCCCTTCATTGGACTTAAATTGAATCCACAGCTTCTTTGATCTGGAGGTGAAGGCGATGGGGCGTTCGTAAGTCTGACAGGTTTCATATGTGGTCACAGAATTGGTCGAAGCTGCCAAGGGAAGTTGGAGGGGAGTAGGGTTCAAGACTCATCACCAAACAGGCAGACAGTGAACACTCATCTTTTCAAATACTCACACCATAAAACAAATTATGCTCAAGTGCCTGTAAGGCCCAGCTGAGCCATCATAAAGGCCAAAGCCCTGGAAATCGAGCAGATGCAACTAGAGTTTGTAAGCCCCTAGGGCAGGCTAATGGGAGGCCATGGCTAGGCAAACAGAAGCCCCCAGGCTGCAGCCCTCACTGCAGGAGCTGAGAGGAGGGCCCACAAGTTCCAGAGCCACCACTATGATCTAGTAATAACCACCACCACTTACTGCATGCTTCCTAAGACCAGGCCGGGCACTGTGCACTTCGTGGACTCCATCTCACTTAACCCTCTGAAAACCACAGCAAGATGGTGTGGTTGTTACCTCATTTATAGAGCAATTAAGTGTCTGCCCAGGGTCACACAGGATTCAAGCCCACACCTGACTTCAAACATTGTAATACTAGTAAGAATGGCAAACACATAGTGGCTCAATGTGACATTATTATTCTAAGTGCTTTGTAAATATGAACTCATTTATTCATCACAATAATCCTATGAGGTAGCAACTTTTCTTATCTCCTTTTTAACAGATTAGGAAACTGAGACACAGAAAGATCTAGAATGCATGCCCAAGATCACAGAATTAATAAGAGGTGGAGCTAGGAGTCAGACCCAGGCAGTCTGGCTGCAGAGCCCACTTGTTACACTGGCTCTAAGCTGTGTTGATGGCAGTGTCCCTTTATGGACCCTGGGCCATGTGTCAGGATGGGAGGAGGGTCCCTCCTTGTAGGACCATGCTTGGCCTTGGTCAGTCCCCGAACTATGAGCCCTTCTGAGGGAGAGGCAAATGTCTGGGGCCAGCCCTGCATGAGCGTCATTGGCTCTCTATGACGTTGTGGAAGTGGGTCCCCAGCAAGCACAGAGGGGAAGACTGACCCCAGGACCACTCCCTCTGGGGTTCAACAAGAGGCCTCAACATGTGGTTTTGATCTACATTTTTTTTTCCTTGGTAAACTCTATGAACTCATGTCCCACCTCTGTTCTAATATGGAGGTGACATTTTGGGTCTGCTTCTCACACTGAAAGCTGCGAGCATGTGGTCAGCCTTCCCAGCTGGGCTTAGAAGGGGAGGGGGGCCGCAGGGTGAGACGCACAAGTTTTCCGCATCACCAGGTAGTCTCCACAGTCGTCCTCTATGGGCAGGAAGATCTCAGGGACCACAATCAAGATGCGACGCTTGGGGGGCGGGTTGATGGTCCAGGTGCACTCGGTGTTGGCAGGGTAATTGCCTGGGTAGTTTGGGGATTCGATGTACCCAGTGAAATCTCCCAGCTCCCCTCCACATCTTCTGTCTGGAAGAGGAAACTCCATGAGTTATAAAAGCACAACGCAGTCTTCACTGTCATGGCCACCAGCAGCTTGGCTGAGAACCACTGCATCTCTACTGCCAGCAAGGAAGGGGGCCTAGAAATGACCCCTTCCTGGGAATAGCCTGACCTCTAATGCCCAGGGCCCCCTCTGGGAGCCCAGCCATGCTAACTTCCCACACAGAGCCCACCCCTCTGAGTCCCAGGCACCATTATTTTTATTAACTTGAAGGTGCTCAAGGTCAGTAGCAGGTGTTTGTGAAACAAAAGAACAACTTTAATTTTCAATATTTTGCTTACGAAGTTCAAGTGCCAAGGGAGTCCATTAACACAAAACTTCCAGGTGTATCAAAACAGAGAGAACAGAGCCTATTGCTCAGTTGAGGATATCTGACTCTTTGCTAGAGATCTTTGATGAGGAGATGACAGCCATATTCTCTCTCTTTTCTTTCTGGTCAAGACCACATTTTACTTTTTGGTGGGGAAGAGAATTCCAATTAATTATCAGTCAGTGCGGGGCATGCTGGATCCTTACTTGTGGCACCAAAGGCAGGAAGCACACACGCACATGCACACACACCACCTCGGCCATATCTTCACTCATTGAATCTCCACTCATGCAACAAAAGCCCCAGGGACTCAGAAATAAGACCCAGTCCTTGCCCTCAAGGAGCCTATTATTTAAAACCATCAGGTGAACCTGTACAAGAGATATGTTGAAGAGATTCCCTTTTCTCCTCTAATTTATTTATTATTTATTAATTTATTTCCAGTAGAAGAAAATAAACAGGCTTTTTTCTTTTCTGGAAGAGAAGAGGGGGAGGGGAAAAGCAGGAACCGAAGGGCTGTCTGAGGCACTATGCCATGTGGCTCCAAAGGGTCAGCCAAGGACCAGGGGGTGGGAGGACAAGGAAATAAATTCCGTCTTGGTCTGGGAAAGACTTTTCTAACACTGTGAACTTCCCTAAGCCTAATCTATCAAAAGACTAGGATATCAGGGAAGGTAGTAAGCTTCCTGTTATGGCAGGTATTCAAGAAGAGATTTCATGGCTCCTTGTAAGGATGTGGTTGAAAGGACTTCATTGGGATAAAAAGAAAACTAGATAACCTTCCAGTCTTAAAATTCAAATAAATGATCCACTGCCCACTTCAATCCCAGATGCCTCCAGTCTAGGGAGGTTTCCTTGTTCTTCTGTGTTGCTGTCCTAATGATACTGAATTAGCTGAGATTTACTTTGGCCTTTACTAGAGAATTTTGCATAATGGCTGAAAACAAACAAAGCATGCAGCGAGTCCTTCAATGATCAGCTTCCCCATCCTACAGAATACAAATCAAACTCCTTGGCATGGCACTCAAGGCTTCTTCTCCTGGTCTGTCTCAGACCCCCTTCAGCACAGCCCATCAGCAGGGCCAGGGGCTTCTTCCCAAAGAGTCTTTCACTTTTCTGAGTCTGTGATTCCTTCCCACTGCTCTCTTGGGCATAAAACTTTTTCTCCTGCTTTCCTCATCAAAACCTTCTCCTGTCCCCCAGAAGCTTTTCCTTGTCTCTTGCTCCTTCCTGGCACATAACAGGTCTTCAAACAATGCTTGCTGAACAGGCCTGAACTGAAATTTTGCCCCTGGGCAGAAATTACAACAAGTACAGCCTGTGAATGTGCCAGGAGAAGCAGCCAGGATCAGTACAATGTTGTACTTGGGGGTCAAGCCTGCTATCCTTGAGCGTGGATCTGCAATGGCCACGAGCTGGGGCAACGTCTACACGGTTCCCAGTGAAGCTGGGTTCCCCCCACCTCCACCCTCCTCCTCCAGGTGCACCTAAGCACTTGCCCTCTTAATCAAGACCCAGGAGAACCTTAGAGATAGACCTACTTTTACACTGGGTTATGTTTGTGGAGCCATCAAAGTCAGTTGTTGTATTTCCTGGGCAAGAAACACAATTATTTTTTCCAAATTCAGGCTGATAGGTGCCTGCTGGACAACGAATACAGCGGTGGGTAGTAGTGTTGTAGAAATGTCCAGGAGAACATTGAACTGTGCAGTGGGAAAGGGTAGAGAGAATTCAAAAACATTTTTTTCAAGACTGCATTTTCATCAAATGGAATAGAAAAGGCTTTACAGTTCATGAAATAAACTTTTACACCCAAATGGAGAACTGCTTTCCTACTAATCTGAGGCTTATCAACACTTAATTCCCTAAATAGCTAGCTAGGGTGGGACTTGTGACTCATGACACAGAAAAATACAAAGGGAACAAGGTGCCAGTGTATCTTCAGAGAGTTTATGGTGCATGTGGAGTCAGGCATAAATGAGCACAGCTCGTCCCCATGCAGAGCCTGCTATTGAGTGTAGAGGGGTACAGAATTGATCCTGGCTTGGGGTGGGCTCCTGCTAGTGGCAGCAGTGACAGGGTGCTGGGGAAGGGGTAGGCCCTTCACTATCAGAAGCTCTAGGTAAGGGCGGTGCAATGGAGGAAGGCTGGAAGGAAGGAGCTGAGGAACCTGTGCACAAGACCTGCTCGTTTCTCCCTGATTGCCCCTCCACTCAGTTCCGTCCAAGGCGGACAAGGTGGCTGGGGGGAAGACCACATCTAGGACCTTCCCGTGCTCCCTGAACACCCTACAGAGGTGGGTGAGGCTGGGACCTGATGTCCCCACCACTGGGGAACCACACAGGACACCTCAGAACTGGGCTTGATTGGAGTTTTCCCAGACTCCCATGGTTCTCAAGAGAAATTCAGTTCTGAAAAAGGCAAGCTGCCAAGTCCTCACCTCTGGTTTCACAGTCCTGAAAGGAAGTGGCTCCCAGGTATTTGGTGGGGAGGCCTCCTCCACAGGGGAAGCAGGAAGTACGGCCGGCTTCAGGCTGGAATGTGCCCAGGGCACAGAGCTGGCAGGGTGCAAAGCCATCTGCAGAATATTGACCAGGTTGGCACAAAGCTGTGGGGACAAATGAGCCTAGGTAAGCAGGGCCCTCCAGGCAGAGCCTTTCCCATGTCTCTGCAGATGAGATCAGACTCTGGTCAAGTCTGTCACCCTGGGCTGACCTCAGCTCCCACCTCAGGGAGAGAAACCCTGTCCTGCCCTGCTGCTGACCCTGAAGAAATGGTATGTGAGTGCCTGATGTTAACACACAAAGCTGCACAGCACAGTGCAAAGCAGCCAAGGGTGGACTGCAAAGTATGGAGCAGGCCTGGATATGTACCAGGCTTAGGACTACACAGCAGTGCAGAAGCCCCCAGGGAGAAAGGGAGAAGGTTCTCCACTCTGGAATCAATTTGGTAATTTGACCCAGAAGTACCCCCTCACCCAATTATATCCTAGTGATAGAAAGATTCTTCAGAAGAATCTCCCCTGTTTCACCAATTGTATTTACTAAGTTATATCTCCCTATACTAAGTGTGTCCTGGCCTCCCTCTACTAAATCAAACCAATCCAATTCCCCCTCACAGGAGGACCCAGTGGTCTTACTTTAAGCCCCTTACTTTATTATTTTTTAAGTTTATGACAAGAAGTATAGCCATAAACAAAAGAATTTCTAAAAGTGTATGTTCCTTAGGAATTATATTGTCATTGACAAGATGCTATAAAAATGTATATCTCTTGTATACCTAATCATCTCTATTAATTTTCATGGTCTCCTTTCTACCCATAAGTCAATAGATATAATGGCATTTAATGAACACACACCCAAAGGAAGAGTCTGGAGTCTGTCAGACCTGGGTTCTGACTCCAAATCCTCCACTTCTCAGTTGTGTCACTTTGAATGAGTCACTTTAACTTCATAAAGTTGTTGTGGTGATATACCAACCATATGAATAATTTGTGTAATACACTTTGCAAGATACTCAGCATAGGTAAGTATTCAATAAATGTTAACTTATTATTATTATTATTAATATTCTTATTAGATAAATATATCTTAATAAGGTCATATACAAGTACAAACAGATGCCCCAAAGTGCCTCCATATCAACTTTGTAGTTAGTTCTAGGGTCTCATGACAGGCCAAAGATATGGTAGGAGTTACACATCCATCTGAGGATCTGATTTTTAAACCAGAAAAGGTCCTGCAGTTGAGTTGGGAATCCTTTAGGTGGGAAGTAAAGCTGTCTCTTGGAGTCATTGGAAGGAGAGGCAGGGGCCACCAGGGGTCCTGTGTACTCTGTTGTGAACATCACCTACAGATCACGTTGTCAGAGCACACCTTCCATGGGAGTCCACAGAGTGTCAATACAGCGGGCCCTTCTTCCACTCGATAAAAGGGAAGACATTTACTAATAACATAAATAAGAAAGAAGCCCACAGAACCCAAGTGAGCTTAGCTCCAGAGTTAACATTATACGGGATGATTAAAAACTTGACACAGTTTAACAAAATAACCAGATGGATACTTTTTAAAAATCAATAAGCTATGAATTTCAAACCAAAGCTGGAAAAACAATCAAAACTACTTTCTTCATTTTAATGCTTTCAGAGAGTCTCTACTTACTGGGAAATCACTCCGGCCTCAGGGGACATCTACTTACAATGGATAAAGCACACAATTGCAACATTTACACTTTGATTCTGCGAATGTATTCTATCAGACCTTTATTTGTTTGTTCAAATTAGCCTCAATCCAGCATGTATCAGGCACTGGGCAAGGCACTGGAGATGAAGCCAGTAAGGACCCTGCTCACAGGCAGCCCATGGTGCCGCGTGTACTGACTGCATTGAAATACTGCCTATGCCCTCTGTCTAAACAATCATACTGGGGCCTGGAGGAGTAAGAAGGGGCAGACAGAATCCTTACCTCCACATTCAGACACATTCCAAGCTTCTGAGGTCTTCAGAGACCCGGGATTTTCTGGTCTGGGGCACGGTTCACATGTGATTTGTCCTTCTTCATTTTGGAAGGTTCCACTTGGACATAAAAGGCAGCGTTCTTGTACTCCATCATAATATGTCCCAGCCCTGCAACTGACTAGCCAAAGGGGAAATGATCTGGTCAGTGAGGGGGCAGAAGCCATGAAAGGGTACTGTGAGTGCCAGAGATGAAGGTAAAAACCCCACCCTCCCCACTACAAGCCCTGAATACAGAATGTGGTTCCCTGTGCACAGCCCTCTGCCATGATCCCTGACACCCACTAGTGGAGGCATTTACAGATCCTCACTCCCTAGACTGTGAGCTCCTTGGGGACAGGGATCACAGTGGTCATAATTATTTCTGAGCATAAATACCTGATGACTCTCCCTACTTCACAGGGCTGTCAGAAGGATTATAAAGGTCATTCAGTGAACATAGGCATAATGCTTAAAGAACAAAGAAGGGTGCTATTAATTCTGGCTAGTGGCATCCCTGAAGGCTTTCTAGAGGAGGCCACATTGTGGTCAGGCCTTGAAGGATGAGTAAGATCTCCCCAGATATGAAAGAGGGCAGTTTGTAAGGATTCATGCAGGGCATATGGGAAAAGAGAAGGAAAAAAAGGAAGTTGGGATAGACTGAAAAAGTTCTCAAATGCCAGGCATTTGGATTTTATTACATAGGTAAAGGAGCCTCTTTTTTTTTTTTAGTCAGAAAGAGATGAAAATAGCCAGAAGTCATGTTTCAAAAAGCTTACTCTCTGGTGGCTGTAGGGAGGGTGCTCTCAAGGGTCTTACAGATAAGCTCTCCAAAACAGCATGCTTTGTATTTGTAATAAAAGTACTACATTACAAGGAGTAAACCCAGGTAAATGTCTTCTGAAAAAAATAAATTACAAATGAATTAATAAACTATGCTTCTGATTATAGTTATGGTATTGTTAGTTAAATGTAGATTTATATCTTATCTTAGGATATGAATATAAAATAAATATGCTGAATTGGATTCTCTAATATAATATTCAAACATCATCATAACCATCAGAATAGCCTTTTTGATAGGCTAACACTTACTGAGTACTTACAGTCTACTAGACACCATGCCAAAGCTTTACATACATTATTTCATTTATTCCTGAAAACAACCTGAAGGAGCTAGGTGCTATTATTAGCTCCATTTTACAGAAACAGGGGCTTAGGGACTTTAAATAACTTGGCCAAGCCCCACAGCGAGTCTGTGAATTACCCCTATGGGTGAGATCAAGAGCTTTGAATTTAAGAAGGGGAAAGGCCATTTAACAAAGAACAGACTGAACCACAGTTGAAGACTTTGCCGAGGATTCTTTATGGGGCATGACGGGTGTTTGACTGGTATAAACACATTTTCTTTCAAACTTATGATGCCAAGAAATAGAAAACAAAGTAGCACAAGATAAAATTAGCAATCCTATCTCATGAATATCTGTAAAGGGAAATGTCTCTTTTCATCCTATCTTACAAATTCAATCTGTATATATACTTCTAGGATTAAACAGGGCAAAGCTCTCTATTATCACTATTAACAATGCCTTTTAATTATTCATTTAATAATAAAAAATTAGGTTTTTTAAAAAAACATAGTAAGCCAAAATATGCCACATTTAAAATATTATTTCTACAATTAAAATACTATTTCTACAATCAGTAAAGTCTACTGTTAAGTCTAAATCTTAATACTTATTTATATTGCTTGGGTTTACTTTTACAATACTCATATATCATTTTTATTTAATATTATGAGTTTTTTTTTTAAATTAGAAGTGAACCAAACTCTTGCTCTTTGGGCAAACATTATAATGAGTAGGATGCACACTGTGGCAGACAGAGCCTATAATTCCAGGTTTATTCTCTAACTGCAGCCCTACTGGCTAATGGTTCCATCTCATCTCCTGTGAAAAGCTGGGCTGAATTATGTACTGGGAATTTATGACTCTTTATCCTCCATCTCCCACCTGCCTATCCTAGTGCCTACGGCAGGCGGGTAAATGATAATAACCCCTTTCTGGCTCTAGCAAGCCAACTGTCAAGAAGACTGACAGAAAGCAAATAAAACCAAGTCTGTCCAGAGTCCCTCCAGTCCAAGCTATTTCCATTTTGGAAACAGCTGTTTTCATCATCCTGATTCACCTAAAGGGAAAGTACCCGTATGATGACAATGATTCCAACACCCCCATTAATCCTAACTTAGAGTCCCATCAGCATGGTCTGGTCCAGCACAGCTCCTCTGGCAGGTGAGTCCCCTCCACAGGTGGACAAGAATGATTGGATCTGGTTCTCACTGAAAAAAGTGAGATGGGCTCCTCTTGTGGGTATCCACTCCTCCTTAGAAGAATTTAAATCCCAAAAGCCTCTTCGAGGTTACATTTTGAGAAGCCTCACAATGTCCCATATCTGTTACAATTTCTCGGCCAAGCAAAGGGCTGAGACATGCCCCTTGGGCTGCCCTGAGGAAAAGAGGGCACCAGTTCTTTTTTCTCACAGTGAAAGGCCTGCTTCACAGAAACAAATGCGTATTGCCACTCACAGTTTCCATTTTCCCTCCGGAGAGCAAGACCTACAGAAATATTTCATGCCAAGCACCTTCTGAATTAATTGCTTCTTTCACAAGGTAAAAATGAGCTAAACCCCGAAAAGTGCAAAGTGATTCTGAAATGTCACGGAGCAACACCACAGAACAGCTTTTCTGCAAATGTACTGAAGATCTGGCCTGAGGACGCCTCGATCACACGTTCCAGTTGGTTCTCTTTTCTCCTTGAGCAACCAGCTCATTTTGCGGGCCCAGACAAAGGAGTCAGTTGCCCCCAGACACTCCACAATCACAGCATAGCTTTTGTGTGTCTTCAGTGACCATTAAAATCCCATTCTCAAATCCCACACAGCTGTTTTCTCCCTCTCTTTAAAAAAAATACAAGAAAGCTTTCTGATGCAAAAAGGAGAGACCAGGGGGACCAGGATTAATGGTGACAAAGAGACCTGGCGGCTGGCCCTCTTTTCAAGACACAGCCTTTGAGTGTTTCAGGCTATGGACAAACACTGTGGTCTCTCTGTGGCTAAGAAGGTGAACCTAGTAGAAGAGGTCAGTCTCTAGCAGCTGACGGTTTTCTTAAGAATCACGCCTTGACTTCTGGAGGAGAGCCTCAGGCAGTCCATGTGGATTCCCAGGGTGCCCTGGAGCGGCTGCTCTGTCACGGCTCAAAGGTGATGGCGCTCCAAGCAGTGTTGTGGCCTCAGGGTCCTCGTTCTAACCCCTTGCTTCAGGATAACCAGAGACAGCATCCCCTTGGGCAGAGAGGTTCATTTGTCACATCTGTCCAGGTTTCTGGTGTGTGCTCAGGTTTGCTATTTGAAAACATTTTTATGGTTTGGGCAGAGAGATGAGCCCAGCTTGAGGTCCTTCCTTGCTGGGTCCCCAGTGCATACACTGTTCGCTTCAGGCCTGGTTAACCAGGGCTTAGATTTCATTTCCTTTAGAGTGCCTCTGCTGCCCTCAATTTAAATATTCCCCCAAAGATTTGCCTTTTGCCCTCTTTTCTCTAAATGTTGATGACTATCCTCGGGATATCATCTGTTGTCCCTGTGAAGATTCATTTTCTCATTTATTCAATTAAATGCTTAGCACTGATTATGTGCTGAGTACTGTTCTAGGGGCTGGAGATACAGCAGAGAAGACAGACACGGCCTTGCTCTAAAGGGGCTCTCATTCTAGAGAATGGACAATAAATGAGCAAACAAACAAACATATAACGGAAGGCCAGCCAGAGCCAAGTGTGATGAAGAAAAGTGAAATAGGATAAGAGGTTGAAAAAGAGCATTGGGTGGAATGTGTGCATATGCTGTTTTAGAATAGTAGCCAGGAAAGGCCTCTCTGCACAGAGATCAGAGTGAAAAGAGGGAAATGTCCTTTGAGTGGTATTGCTGATTAGCAAAAAAGCCAGTGTAGCAGGAACACAGGGAAAGGAGAGAAGGAGGGAGGTGGTAGGAATTGAATTCTAAAAAGCAAATAAGGACCTGATCTGTAGGTTCTTAAAGGTCACGGTTAGGAAATCAGACCTTACACAAAGTGTGCTGGAGGTTGTGGGTGGGCGAGTGACACAGTCTGACTTAGGTTTCTAAAAGATCTTCCGGCTGCTCTGTGGAGAACAGACTGAAGGCAGCCAAGGGCAAGGAGAACAATCCAGAGCCCATCACAGGAGACTGGGCAGGAGCTGGTGGTTTGGAACAGAGTGGCAATAAAGACAGAAGAGAAAACTAGTGAGATTCAGGATATAATCTGAAGGCAGAGCTGAAAGATTTTGCTAATGAATGGGGTTTGGAGCAAACCAGAATGGGAGAGGTCCAGGAACCTGGGAGGCTTCCAGCATGAGCAGCTCAGTGACCACAGGTGCTGTTTACTGAGATGGGGGAAGCAGGTTTTACCAGGAGGAGGTGAGGAGGATAAAACATCTTGTTTAGACACGTTGGGTTTAGGATGCAAGAGCTGATATTGAGAAGGCATGAGCTAGACTGGTGGTCTCCAGGGTAGGCTACTGCACCCCAGGGCTTTACAAAATAATCCACTGGCTGTGAGCAAAGCAATTTCACATATATGTCCATTAATTTTTACCTACATTGTAAGAAATAAAGAAAGGCCCACTGGTGTATTATATGGTATAAGATCGGCCCCTCAGTCTGTCCACATCGCCATGAGTCATGGACACATGTGAAGACACAGGTTTCCAAGTAAAGAGAGGAGCTGGCAGTACACAGCACTGGGGACGGGAGGTACTGATGGATTCATTTCTTTTCAAAGTACTGACAAGAATTACAGTTTAACTGTGCCTGGTTGAATAGATCTCTTGATTATATTACCTATTTTCAACCAAACTGTCACAAGACAGAAAGCAGCTTCGAACGATCCCAGAGCAAAAGCCCTAGATCCAGTGGTACAAGAACAGTGAACAACAGGGACATGCCAGAGCGGATACCCATTTTATTCCCAGGACTAGTCCTGTCCATTCATGTCGTAAGATGGAAACAGTAATGATTCAGTTGGATCTGACAAGAGTTGATCCAATTTACAAAAAGACTACTTGAAAAAAATGG